TGCTGTGCACTATATTGGTGGAATATAAACCCTAAGCCACTATAAAAAAAAAACAACTCACAATATTACAAATCCATGACGTCAGTATCTTCATGTTGCCTTCCAGTGCTCCTCGTAAATTAAAAACGTATTCATAAAGTGCCGTTATTTTTGCCCTATGTTTGACGGAGGCTCTGTGTTTTCTACGCTTTAGTATTAGATTGTACTGAGTTTGAATTCTCAACCGAAGAATACGTAGGATGTCATTGATTTATAATGAACATTGTTTCTGTCGCTAATTGACGCCTCCTTCGCGTGTTCCACCTTCTCGTCGTCACACACTAAAATCTCGAGCATCGCAGAAGACTTCGTCTGCTTGAATGTGATTTTAAACCTTTATTCTGCTCAGCGTGCTCATCAATCGCGAGCGACATTCCCGCGGTGGCCACATTTCCGAGAGCACTGTAAGCAGGCGTCGTTTGACAGGAGGCTGTCCTTGGTAGCAGAGCTAGCTGCTGCGAGCTAAACAACGAAAACAAATCCGCTGCAGCTAGCCTTCTGCATGAATGTGAAGGGATCGGTGAGTTTTAAACCCGTCTCCTGTCAATGCTCGTAAACCAGTTTGTGAGGACGGTGAATCATCACCAGTGTTACACATTCAGAAGTCAGCTAGCATCAACCTCAGTCAGCGTGAACAACCTTTAGCCTCTGGGATGTGTCTGTTGTTTTCTCTGAGAATCAACAACAGCTAATGAGAGGCAACGGCAGCAGTTGCAAGTCAATATTTCACGCGCACCTTTACACAAGTCGCGATTCATCTCATGTGTGAGTAAACGGTTAGCATTAGCTTGAGACTAAACTTTGACATCTGGTCTGTTTTTCTATCCCATCATCAATGGTGCACTGACAAGGAGCTAATGTCAAGTATCTCTATGTCTGACAGGTTATATATAACTTGTTATGTAGTTGTGATGTGACCGTGAACTCTGTTTACTGTTACTCCATGTGCAGCTGTGTGTGTGTGTGTGTGTGTGTGTGTGTGTGTGTGTGTGTGTGTGTGTGTGTGTGTGTGTGTGTGTCCTCCTCAGGTCAGAGCTGAGGATTTGGATAAAGTCTTGGACTAATGTCATCCAGTCCTGGTGAAGAGGGGCGTCTTCCTCAGGCTGCCCCAAGCCACAACACCCAAGACCTGTTTGACAGCCCCGCTCCAACCGAGGCTGCAGGGAACACACCCGAGGATCAGGTGAGGCTGCATGTCTGGATGTGACAGTGTTGATTATGAACATCTGTCTCATGTACAATGTCCCTCCCTGATTATAATCACAGATATGGCTTACTAGGATTAGGGTTGGTTTCAGGTTGAGATAAAGACAAATCGACTTTAACACAGCCCTGGCGTGATGTATATATACTGTACAGTATAGGTTGCTTGGGCTGATTGTGAGTTTGATATGTGTGGTGCTGTACAGAAGAAGTTTCATTAATTCACAATGGGTTAGCTACCTTTTAAATATTAGTTCAAGTCCTATTGTCATCTGTCCTTAGCTGCATAGGCACAAAAAGCTGCTTTTTATGCCAGTCACACATTTTGAAGTACACATTTTTCTCGATTTAGTTTTTTGTCAGTCTTAGACAATGCTGATCTGATCAGAAAAAGCATGGAAGTCCAAAGTGTGCAGAGAAAATTTGAGCTAAGTAACATTATACTTTTTTGAAGTTAAAAGGAAAAGCAGCACAGAGGAATATAAGAAGGGGAATGACAGCTTGTACAATTTCAAGGCTGTGTACACCACTGTACCCCACAGGCTAGTCAGTGTGTGTGTCTTGTCAATTTTAAACTAGAAACCTACATGTACATAAATGGAGTATAATGTGTCAAAGGAATCACAAAAGTTATTTTGTTGTTGGTTTCTATCGATTTTCTTTGTCCACAAAGCCAAATATACTATTTATAGTCTGCAACTGAAAACCTGCTGAGCTGTGCAGACAGAGAAAGGAATTACTGTCAAGGAGATCCACAGATTTTATTCTTAGGTAGGGTGTTCATACACATTCCAGTTCCTTCTCAGTATTGCACATTAGATTGCAAATTGGATTGCTGATTTGGTGGCTGCGTATAATGAGGGTGTTGTTTGTTGTTTCTAGCTGTAGCAGGCTCTCTCTTTCAACACTGTGAAACTGGAGCAGCAGCGTACCAAGAGTATTGCTGGTAATAATGTTTGAGAATCCAAGCTATTTAGTGGAAACATGTTGTTTGCAAGTAGCTGTATCTGTAAGAGTAATGATAAGAGGAGCCAAAAGATAGCTTGTAGAGGACTTTGTGCTAAGAGGAGGTCTGAAGAAGAAATATTGATTTAAAATATTGACTATACCGGTCATCATTGCTCTCCAGGTGTCGCCTGTGTTGGACGCCTCTCCTTCTTCCACTACCTCCTTTGAGATGATCGACATGGAGACAGTCCCAGCTCCTTACAGAGAAGTGCAGCCTCACTGGTTCTTCTGTCGACGGGCAAATGACAACACCTCCTGGCTTCCTTTCAGCAGAGAAGACTCTGACAAACTAGAACAGGCCTGTAACTCTGGTAAGGGGTTGTTTATATTGTATGTGCACATTTTATACTATACTTTGTACATTCTGTTTAGATAGGTCATCAGGAGAGCTATGGGAGCAATATAAAATGTCAAAACATGACTAGTACCAACTCTGGCCTAATGCCCAGTAGGACACAAGACTCTCTGACAGAACACACTCTCTGTTAGTAGCATCTTAACAGCTCATTTAAATTCAGTTTCAGGGAGGTTTTGGATTAGATTCCTTATTGTCAACATACTGTACTGAAGAACGCAATGTAGAAATATTAAAAAAATACATGAGTGTTGAAATTCATGGTATTTATATTTAAATTTTGAAAAATTGAAAGGATCCTTAAAAAACAAATTATATTTTATATTTGTTTGTTTTTAAATAAATAGTTTTAAATAACAGGAAGATTGACACCTCTCATGTCTACATGTTAAACATGAAGTTGCAGCTGGTTAGGTAAGCATAAAGCCTTGAATTGGAGATAAAGTTAAAAAGCCAGTCTGAGTCAATCCAAATGTCACAAAGTCCACCTCACAGCACGTCTAAAGCTCAATAACATGCCTTATCACATGTTTTGGTTGTACATGGGCGTTGTAGTCACACTTTTACATAAACAATCACACACAAAGCCTATGAAAAGGAAAAAATAAAGCATTAGAAACTAGTTGTATTTATTTTGCAAATCATTCAAAAGTATAACATTTCACATATCTCATTTAAGGGCTCCATACCAAAGCAAATATCTCGTCTTTCCCTGTGACAACTTACAGTACATCCCTTCAAACTGAGAGAGGAGTGCAGGGTTTTTGCCCACATTCATATCAAAGATTACTGTAAGTACAGACAAGACTGGTCTAATCCTCCTGGTGATGCTGCTTCTGCCAGTCATTGACTTGGCAGAAGCAGTTATTTGCGGAAACCCAGTCTTGTAGACAAGTTATGAGTCAACAGGGTTTTGCTCGTAAAGTAACTTCGTTGTCAGTTAAATGGCTGATTCATTCATCAGTCTTCCTCAGGATCACTGTGACCCACAACATTCCCATAGATAATGAATTGACGAGGGAACAATCTATTCCCTGAAGTAAAGTACAACCAAATTATACGCACATGTCATCATTGAACCTTTTGCCTTTGCCTTAAATACAGTATATGTGTGTTTACTTTACAGCAGATGAGGGGGAGGTGGTGGTGGCTGTGGATGGAGAGCGGTATGATGTACACGTCAAGGAGAGGAAACGCTATGCTGTGTACTGGGAGCAAGGTCCCACTGAAGTCCGCCGCTGTACCTGGTTCTACAAAGGAGATAAAGACACCAGGTTCATGCCTTACTCTGAGGACTTCGGCAAAAGCCTGGAGGTAGCCTGACCCAGACGCTGAGTTTATACCACCACACTGCTCATTCCCACAGACTTTTGTGTTTTTTATCAAACTCTTTTCTTATTGTTTGGTCTTTAATTCCTCCCCCACCCATCCTCCAATTTTTCAGGAGGCTTATATGATAGCAGTGACGTTGGATGAATGGAAGACGAAACTGGACTTTCCCACTGGAGAGACTGTTATCTTACACAATCCCAAAGTAAGGCCTACTGTTAAAATATCACTATGTAAAGTATGATTGAATACATGACAAAGCCCCACCACAGGTGAATGCATAAAAAGATAAGTGCATTGTTTTTGCTTCCTCATCTCTTTCATTTCCTTCCTCAGCTTATAATGCAATATCAGCCAATTGGATTGCAAGATGAGTGGATGACCTCCCCCTCAGAGCAAATCCGACCTCGAACAGTCAAGAGAGGAGTAGAAAACATCATTGTAGAGATACCTGAAGGTATGTATGACAATATAGTATGTGGAGGGTATCAACTACAGCCGAAACCTGTGATGTCACCATACATTTTTGTGTTTCCAGGTGAACCAGAAAAAGTGGACCACCTTGTTTTTATGGTGCATGGCATTGGTCCTGCGTGTGACTTGCGCTTCAGATCCATCATACAGTGTGGTAGGTGTGCATGTGTATTTATGGTTTACATATATGCAAATATGTATGTGTATGACTCCTTTTCATCTTGTCTCTCCAGTAAATGACTTCAGGAGTGCTTCTCTGTCCCTCCTGGCCTCTCATTATAAACGGGCTCAGCAAGATGGCCAGGTGAGCAGAGTTGAGTTCCTCCCAGTCAACTGGCACAGCGCTCTACATGGGGATGCCACTGGTGTGGATGAGTAAGTATGGAGAGAGAGCATAAAACAATATTCTCCTTTGTACGACCACACTGTACAAAAATGCTTATGTCTTTAAGACCATTGGAAAACTGTGGCTACCCGCCTTTTATTTGCTCTCCTCCTTTCCCCATTTCCCAGGGACATCCAGAGGATCACTCTTCCCAGTATCAGCAGACTGAGACATTTCACCAACGACACTCTGCTGGACCTGTTTTTCTATAACAGCCCCACCTACTGCCAGACCATAGTGGACACAGTAGCCTCAGAGATCAACAGGCTACACACCCTCTTTAAACAGAGACACCCAGAATTCACTGGGGCAGTTTCAGTAGTGGGCCATAGTCTGGGTTAGAGATGCAGAAACACAACCCTGTCATAGACAAGCAGAACATAAAAATTCTTATTTCCAACACTTGTACTTTTTTCATTCCTCAGGTTCACTCATCCTGTTTGACATGCTAACCAACCAGGTGGCAGGATCAGAGGCCAGAGAGGGGGTACGATGTCATTCACAGTAACAGATAACATCATAATACTGATTCAAACACTTGCATATATCTCTACATGTTCAATTACAGAATGTCAATGTAGAATGAATTTCCCACTCTCTCCCTCCCTGTGCTCAAGATGCCTTCCAGTGAGACGTGTCATTTGAACTATGACACATTGGAGCAGACTCTGACTAGACTGGGCCTCGAGCAGTACCTGGATACACTGCAGGCTGAAAACCTCGACCTGGAATCCCTGGTAATAAAAACACACGACTGACACACACATTCAAGTGTAATTCTCAGTTATAAAAACATATGTTTTTGTTCTTTAAGTCTCTTTGCCATGACAGTGATCTCAAAGTGTTAGGAATTCCTCTTGGACCTCGGAAGAAGATCCTGAAGTACGCCAAAAGAAAATGGCTTCCAGAGGTCAGACACAGTAAAAACGATCCTGTGTTTTGTATTACTTATGAGTTTTTAATAAAATGATATACAGTATATGGCTCAACTGACCATTAGGTCCCCTCCACATAATTATATGTCTTGGATCTGAACTGTTTCTGGATAAAATATATCTAGATGGCTTAATCATTTGGCATTAATATGCCTCCAATGTTCATATTAAGTATTAGGTAATCTGATTGCTATTTCACAAACATCACAAATAATATTTTTTTAAATAAAAGTTAGGTCTCATTTTGAAGTATTTTCTCTTTCCAAACAGGATTGTAAGACAGGGACTGTGCATCTGGCACCAGGGTTGCAATTTCCATCCCAAGTGACTAATGATCATGATGGTAACCAATCCTCCGGAGTGACGCCGCAGCAGTCCCAGTTTCATAGGACGCAGTCTGTCACCAGCGCAGTGGATTATGAATACTTTGACGTGGGCATCGGACAGGTAGCACACAATGCATATAGATTCAATATGATTATTTGTGCTTGGGAGCACCAGTAGCTGAAAGCTTTGATGCTTCAAATTCCTGCTTCTCTCCCTCCCCCTTGCTTGCCTGGACAGACCAATGGAGGTATAGCCAAGGGGCAGGTGTGTCTCATATGGCATTGCAGTGCTCTCTGACTTTGTCAATAGTTCTCATTGATCCCACTTTACCCAGAGTTCCTCCCCATATACAGTCCAGTCAAGTTTGAGAAAGCTCAAGGCAACTGATTTAGAGTAGCTATTCTACGAGCTGTGGGGTTTTCATGCTGAAGTCACATTATGCTGTGATTGAGGCTCCTCTGTTTGTCCCATTGAGTCTTACTGTCCAAATACCACGCTCTGTCAGTGCTCACCCAGTCCTGCATGAGTGGTTCCCGTCTCCTCCCTTACTTGCTGTCATGCTCCCTGGCTGTTGTCTTGATACTATGAATGCTTGTGTTTTCAAACATCCCAGTGCACCACAGGAGTATTATTTCATTTCCATTTACTGAATGTGTGTATTTCCTACATGTCCTCTCACAACATAAACTGTGCTTAACCCTCAGGAGTCACCGATCACGCCCGCAAATCACAATCAAGATTTCAGCGTAAACACAGAGCCACATGGAGCACTGGTTTTAAAGTGCTGACTTGAAATTCTATGCTATTTTTTGTTTGGTGGTATTAGGTCAAGTAAAAAGGGTGATATGATTTCGTAAATCTGATGTAATAAACATATGTATAAGAATGCAAGATAGGATGGTGCAGCTGTTGCATTTTACTTTTCAAAGTGAAAAAATAATTGTCTGCTTATGTAGGCAAAGATACCAAACAATGCATGGTAAACATTTTTTTATGTGGTATTTAAAAACAAATTCAAAAGAATTAAAAAACCGAAATAGCCCATGACTCCTCAGGGTTAAACCATATTGCATTTGAACGTTAACAGTTTCAGCAGCACTGATGATTATTAACCCTCCTTTCTGCAGGTATCTATTGATTACCCACAGCTAGCGTTCCGCCCTCAGACCTTTTTTGCATTTGGCTCTCCCATTGGAATGTTCCTCACTGTTCGTGGCCTGAAACGCATCGACCCGAACTACACCTTCCCCACCTGCAAGAGCTTTTACAACATCTACCACCCGGTGAGTGATCACATATTTACTGCCCATTCACTTGCGCATCCTGTGCTCAAACTCTCCAAATAAAGAGTGATTTCACCAGCTTCCCACAATCAATGAGATCATGTAATAAAAGTTATATTCATCTCATCTCCTTTATTGCTGTACAGTATGACCCTGTGGCCTATCGGATAGAGCCCATGATTGTTTCAGAGGTGGACCTGGAGCCCATGCTAATCCCTCACCATAAAGGCCGCAAGCGGATGCACCTGGGTATGACTGTCTCTTACCTGGACTATGTTGAACAGTATTGTTGCAGGGTTGAATGATCATCTCTATTTCTCTTTGTCTTGTAGAACTAAAGGATAGCTTGACCCGTATGAGCATGGATTTGAAAAACAATGTCTTGGGATCATTACGGACGGCATGGCAGTCTTTTTCCAGACTCCCTGCTGCAGCAGCACTGCCCCCAGTGGAGGAAGGGGAAACTACAATAGAGAGAAACCTTGAGGAGACACACGGTAGAAAGATCACTTTTATTTGTATTTGTGTATGATGTGTGTGTGTGTGTGCGTGCGTGCAGAGGAGTGTGTCTAACCCTGTCTCCTCATACTCCTCTCATCCCTCTCTGCATGTGCCACCTTGCCCTCCCTTCTTCTGCTCTGTCTGGTGGTTGCTCCTTCTGTCCTTCACCCCTTTCCCACTTCACCCTGAACCTCAGCCTCAGCGGCAGTTACTGCTTCTTCTGAGAGTGAAGAGAAAAGTGCTGATTTTTGGACTAAAATACTGGAGTGGCCCAGGGCCCTTCATAAGCATTACTTCCAAGGTAAGCCAGGGGAGCGACTTGCCAAGATTAAATGGAAAAAAGTTTATAATGCCTTATCATTATGCCCTTTCATCTGGATGTTAATCACCTGGTTTTCCTTAATTTAAACTTGCAGGATTTAGTAAAAGTCTCTCATTCATACAGCCTTTATTCATAAAAAATAACTGTTCACTTTCATAGGGCTTAATTTTCTTACGTTAGTTCCCTCACAAAGAGCACATGTTATGTAATGTACAGTAATCCCTTTTGCCGCAAGCTCTCACTTCTCCACTGCTCCCTCTTCCCCCATGCCCACCTCCATTACTGCCGCTGCACTTCTAATAATTACCTTAAAGGTAAATTTACTGACACTTCCTCTCCCTCCCTCTAACGATCATTTCTGATTGGTTGAGTCTCTGACTCTGAAAAGAAAGCGTCAACCGGCCCACGGCACAATCTCTTAAGAGCTGATCAAATATATACCAGTGTAGTGGTGAAGGGTTGTTTTTTTTAACTTGAGTCATTGGCTGGTGCTTAAATAGCAGGTAATGTTATTCATCAGCTGCAGGTCCCCTTCAGAAGCTATGTGCATGTACATGTCCTGCCCTTTTCTAAACCACCTGGAGAACTGAATCTGTCATTCAGTAAGTGGGTGAAAGGGAATGCTGCTGCTGTCAGGACAGACCGTACGTTTTAAATTTACTCTTTATCTCACAGACTCATAGATTCTACTTATACAACCTTGATATATGTTTGCATCATCCAAACATTGGAAGTTTTAGGATTTAGTGTCATGTTTGTGTCAACTTTTGATATTCAAAGTCATGATTATAAGCAATTTAATGCAAAAACAGGATGTTAGAAATATCCTTTCACAATGGAAAATAAAGTAGCAACCAGTAGTTGGCAGTGGATTGGGTTTCTGTGGAGGGCCCTTGTAAGATTATTCTTAAGACAACAGTGCGTTCATAACATACCAACAAATGAACACACCTTACTCACCTCTTTGCAACATCTAACTGGCCTTCAACAGTGACTACTCTAACATTAAACAGGTCAGTTAGAATAAAACATGTACATTTACCACAATCAAATCTTATTTGCATTAGTTACAATTTCTTTTACAAATCTAAAGCACACTCATAGAAATGTTCTAAATGTTCTTATCGTGTAATTATGGCTGTAATTAAAGTAAGGAATGCTGAATGAAATGTAGTTGAACTCTAACCTGCAGTATTTTTAGGACCTGTATTTGTTGTTTGTGCTTTTTCAAGACGAAACAGTTAAATCTGCAGGGGTTTTTAAACAGTTCTGTTCATGACATGACCTTCAAACACATCCAATGCTGTGACTGTTTGATACTATATAATCTTGCAGCATGACAAGCGAACTTGTCTAGATGCACTGTGTTGTAGACTAATATATATTCTCCTGAACTGCAGAGGTGCATGTGTTGCATGTAACCTTCACTTCTATAAATCTGCTGCTGCTTTGTGAATGCCAGTTATTACCAGATCACAGCAAGATTGATAGCTTTAAACTTTACCTTTAAAGCCCCCAAACTTTGGCTCAGGTTACTGATCAAGATCAGACAGGCAAGTGTCTTCTTTAAACATTCTTTTAGCTAAAAGCTTTTATGAATGATTGAATCTGTGTTGTGTTTTATTACCCCAGTATAGTGTATATTTCATGTGACTTCTGTTTTACTATCTGTTTGTTTTTGATTGCTATTTCTTATTTACCTTTTTTCTTTCCGCTCAGCATTTTGTAACT